TAATGAGAAAGTTAGAAGCATTTCAATGGAGCTCACCCAGCTTGTTCCTCAGATGTGGAATATCATACATCCCCACAGTTCCCAGTTGCATGAAAAACTGACTGATAAGATCAGTGACATCCTATGAAAGGTTTACAATGGAAAACTCAGTCATTAAGTTGAGATAAAGCATCATTATGAAAGAACAAATGGCTAGGCGTCTTCTGATTCTTTTCCTCAACTGAAACACTTTTAAAAGTAAACATCAAATTATTTACAAGAAAGACAAACACCTCATTTTGGTGTATTCACTCTATATTAAAGCAGGTAAATCTATCCCAATAACACTCTGAAAGTTGAATTGTTACATCTTAAAAATAAACCCAGAAGGCACAATGGAAAAGACCACACAAGACTCCCAAATCCTTTGCTGTAGAAAACACATGATTTCTGGCTGTTGTAACAAGCTTGAAACTTACAAGTCACTAGCACATAAAATGGGCAAATAAATCCTTTGGTATGGATTTCCCAACATACTACCTTTGTTTTGAGTACCAAGCTGCTTTAGAAATACTCACGGTAGAGTATTTAGCTTACAGTTCTACTAAGACTGGTAGGTCCCAGACAAAAAACTCAATTAGAAATCAGTGAACTCTGTTTTAACGATCACCAAATAAGCTTTTCAGGTATTCTGAGTCTAGCTTCTCTTCTACGTACTTTTTTCAGCCCTTGAATAGTTTAATCTTCAAAATATAAACTGAGTTCATTCTCTACTGCTCCCTTTTACAGCCTCAGAAAGTAAAAGGGGGAACGGCAAAAGGTTAGAAAGCCTATTCAACTGAAGGGTATTCTTTGGAGCTGAGTCTGTTTCACACCGCTTCCTTCCTTGGCAATCAGGTAGAGGACAGCGGAGAGGAGCGTTACACATGCTCATGGTAAAAAATGAACAAAGTACACAAAAGCATAAAGCAGAAAAAATAATCAGTTACCTACCCATCACAAAGTCAGTCACAATTAAACATCCTTTATATTGTTTTGTTCCATTGTGTGTTTTCATAAAAGAAGTTGGCTGTTTGTCACCTGCAAGAACTTTTCATTTGCAGATGTGTTGGACTTACAATCAAACGGCAATGCTATTAAAAGTTAATAGTCTTAGAAACTGGCCTGTGGCCAGCACATTATTTTAAGGGAAAACTGAATTCAAGTGTCTCTAGGAAAGTTTTCATTTCATAGGCCATAAATCAAATTACTCCTTACTGCTTCACATAAAGTTGTTTCAGATGCTCAGGTATCTGCCTAGGTGAGCCCTAAATTCATTTGAGTTTGTAACCACTCCCCCCCCCCGAGTGTTCTGATAACTGAATCTGCAGTGAAAGTTGAGTAGGAAAAAGTGTCTTTCAAAAATATAAAACTAGTGCTTCCTGCCTGACTCACACAGTGCATAAACTTTCAGCGTCAAGATTTCCTTCCAAACTTTTTTCGAGCCTGAGATCATACATTAAAAAAAAAAAAAAAAAGATCATCCTACTCCACTGCAAATTTCTTAAGCAGTTAAAAACCAAGGGAAAAAGGGCCTAAGAACAAATCATGAAAAATTCTGCTTATTCTCCAGATGAGGCCTGAATAAGGAGAACTTAATACAGCAAGTTCCTGGCAATAAAAGTGGTACCACACGGCTCCAAAGTTGGAATGTAGGGAGAACGATGTAGAAGCTGTCTGCTCTGAACTGCAGGCTAATCTGGGGGTTGAGGAGTAGGAACCTAACAGGATACCTTGCCTGCAACACCTGTTCAACAAACTCAAGCAGGAACAACCCTAAGAAACAATTTCATGAAAGCCTATCTGAAGCAGGGCAAAAGGAAACAAGTGGGAGAGTCTGTTTTGAGTCCGTAGAGAGACCTGAAATCCAGCCGATTCGTAGACTAACAACGGAAGGCATAAAGGACAAACGTTTGTCAGATGTTCCTGCAACAGCAGTTAGTTGAATGGATTACAGTAGCAGTTAGCTTATATAGGATAGTTGAACTTGAATAGTAAAATACTGCTTATATTTTGATAATTATTCTTTTTAAAAAATAATTTGCATTTAAAAGTTACTTCTAAAATCAGTAGGAAAAAAAAACTCACATGCCTATTTATAAATAGGTGGCCTGTGTTGAGTCACACACCCAGCATCGTTTCCCCAGCACCACTGCAGGAAATACCCTAAGGCTTTGGGTAAAGTCCAGCAAGACTTTTATGTTAAAAAGTGTCCCCCCAAAAGTATTTGTCCTATTATGTAAAGTCATCTCCACTTTATGATTTTTTCCTAAATTTGTTAAGCTTTGCTGCTCTCCAATACTTTTCCAGTTGGATTTGCTAAGAGAACATGGCATTTTATCACTCCAGAAAGCATGTTTCTCTGGATCTACTTGATTATTCTGAGAGAAAATTTAAAACCACATATCTTGTTAATGTTCTGCTCTGCTTACTGAAATTATGATACTTATCACATGACCTAACCACAGACTAGAGTGTCTGATTTTTCAGCAGGAAAAGAAAACACAGTCCTGATAATGGTTCTGGTCAAATGGACACTTTAAAAAATACACTGAAACCAGTAGCAGGAAGAACAGTCCTGTTATTTTTATTCCTAATGAGAGAATGCCATTCAGAAACACATGATCAGGTAGGATTCTACCCTACAACACAGCATACAGTGACTTACCATTTATGGTTGAGAACACTTATAATCTTATTTGGCTTTAAAAAGCCTTTATTTACCTGTAAAAAACAGTTTTGAGGCTACAGAAAAGTGCGAGATCTGCTTACACCTTTGATCTAAAAAGAAATAGAGTTGACCCTTGAACAAAGGAACAACACAGGGTTTGGGGCACCAATCCTGCAAGTAGCTGAAAATCCACCAATAATTAACAGTCAGCCCTCCACAAACAGGGTTCCACATCTAAGGTATCAACCAACCTTGGATTCTCATCTGCAGATTCAACTAACCTCGGATCGTATAGTACTGCAGTCTTTACTATGGAAAAAAGAAAAATCTCTGTGTAAGTGGACCCCTGAAGTTCAAACCTGTTATTGTTCAAGGGTCAACTGCACAGAGAAGTGTTCTGATTCCTCAGCTACCAGCCATACCCTCTGTCCCCACCACCTCCGGACTCCTATTCAAACTGAGAGCAGACAAACCGATAGGAAAATATCAGTGGAGGGGAACGGCCCTTGCCTATTTCTGATTACATTTCGGGTATTTGGCGGTATCATCAGACGTTTCACTACCAATTTCTCCAAGTCTACAGAAGTGAAGAATGAAGTCTTCCAAGCTAAATGGGTAAAACTATTTATTCATCTGTTTATATACTACATCCTATCTTACACTTAAATAATTCAGGCAACCTATTTCTCAGCTGAATTCTACTTCACTTTCATGTTTTAAACAAATATCGAGTACCTAATCTGTGTCCACAGAAGAAAAAAGGAAAGGGAGAAAGGAGGAAAAGGCGGGGCAAGAGGGTACACAGTAACAATTGATTTGAGTCTCCCTTTCATTGTGCATCAATTCCACAGGCAATTGACTCCCAACCTAAAAGCAATGAACTCTTAAAGCACTGTAACAGAGTACCTATTAAGAGGTCTACAGAGCCCTAGGCCTATCAAAAGGTAGATCAAGAATTATGTTCAGATGGAATCACATTTTCACACTACCACTTTAAGAGCTCATACAGATACTCTTAACAATTTTTAAAAATACACAGTATCTATAGGGGGATAGTATCTAGGGGTGATAATAAAAAATATTTAATAAATGGTCAAGCATGGGCTTCAACTAATAAAGCAGACTGCTGGCCTGCCAATGGCCAGCACAGCTGGACTGGTTCCCACCAACTGAAAAGCAGATAGACAATCTAGGGGAGAGGAGACAATTTCTCCTGTCTCTCTTTTCTTTTTTCGTATTAAGAAGGGGTCCTCATAGTTTAAAAAAAAAAAATTATTGGGCATTATGATTCTAAGAAATTTGACTCAGATTACATCACAACCCACATGAGGAATCACAATAAAATCAGAAACTTGTCTTTTGCTGGTTCTTTGTCTTTCCTCATCTTTAACAGACTCATTCCCTCATGTTCCCACAAAATTTGTAACTAGTTAACTCTTACCATTTACTTGGTTAACTCTTACCATATGTTTTAAAGACTATCGACACTATCCCTTGAAAGAGTCTCTATTTATTAACCTTTATTTATAATAAGAAGCAGCTAGTCTCAGGCTTGTGGATTCAACTTAGTTAAACCATTTAATACTCTGCAAACAGGAAGGATATCTGGGATGGCTTGCAGCTTGTGCTCAACTGTTTTACCCTAGAGTGTGTCTGCAATTAGAAGCAGTGTGTAAGACTATAGGAATGGACATCAGTTCTTCCCCAGTGAGAGAAGAAAACCATCTGGGCTGGCGGGGCTACCTTTAACTTTAGCCCAAGGGGTAACTCGGAGGTTCTCCATCTCTTTGTCTGAGCTTAGTCAAATAAGTTATTCACATTAATATGTTTAGTCCATGACATTATTTCAATGAGTCATTCAGGTCAATTTCTAGAGCTAACAAACAATGATAAGAGGGACAGTATAATAACCTCAAGAAAAATTTATAAAATTCCTATCTTTCCTACAGATTCAGCATGAAGCCAAGTAACTAAAGCAACAATTAGAAATAAAGGTGTAGTAATAAACAAAATAAATTAAGAATTCAGTCATACTTACCAAAATGTAAATTTAAATACAGATGGATCGCACACATTCAAATATAGATTTGGTGTGTGTTTTTTTTAACCAAAGTCATAACTTTAAATAAAGTGGAAAAATCACATCATCTAATTTCTCTTGTGAAACCTGGTACAATTATGGTTATCTTCATAATCTAAAGTTAAAATACTGAGGGTCTCCTCATTAGAAGAGGCTTCATTGATATCTCTCCTCATTAGAAGAGATATCAGATCACTGGAAATAATGAATGCATGTTCCAACAAAACTTACCTTAAAAAAGGCGAACCACTTGTAGTCATTCAACACAATCTCAAAGCCTTGATTGTAAATGATGGTGAAATGGCCGGAATTGCCAAAGTCATCATAAGCTGTATCCAACTTCTTGAGGTGTACCACTACTTTTTTTTCTGGTGGTCCTAAAAAAAAGAAAATACACAACAAAGTAAAGTTATTTGGACTTCAATGGGAGGTAGTCTCATCTATAAGTTCGGTTATTTTTAAGCAGCTTTCCTTTTTTTGCTACTGAATTTGAGTGGATCTGGCTTATGAAGATATCAGAGTCCCTGTGTTGTGGCCTCTTTCTGAATAATCCCAGGGAGGGGTCTCAGGTAAGCCTGTGAAGTGAAGGCTCAAAAGATATATTAAGTAACCCATCAGGTAGAGACCCCTAAAAGTATAGCCAGTACCTTCCCAGAGGATCCAGACACTGAAGAAGTTTTTCCCTGAAGAAAAGGAGAAATAGGGAACGCTGAAAATGACAGACAGAAATGGGGAGAAGACAAAATGGTAGTCAAAAAGTGGAAATATAAAAACATAAAAACATCTGGTGTCAGGTCATAAGAACAAAGGACAATGATCTCTTCAAAGAAAAAATGGGATATCTTTCTCCTAAACGGCTACAAAGCTCAGAATCTCAGAATCTAAATCCTTCCAGTCTTCAGCAAACTCAAGGTTTTTATCCTACATAGTTAATTTATAGTGGTAGGAACTAAACTTTTAACCTTCAGAAAATGGAGACTCAGATTTGTCTTTAATGGTTAGGTTAAGGTCAAGGTATAGTATATGGGCAGAGGCTGCCTGAAAAGGATTCTGCTTGTCCACTCTGGAAGTTTCCAGACTGCACAAATTTTCCATGTTTCCTATTGATGCTCTGAAATAGGAGATTTCAAGGGCTTCTCAGGTGGCACTATTGGTAAAGGCCAAGGCAGGAGACACAAGAGAACCAGGTTCCATCCCTGGGAGGGGAAGACCCCCTGGAATATGAATGGCAACCCACTCCAGTATTCTTGCCTGGAAAATTCCAAGGACAGAGGAGTCTGGCAGGCTCCAGTCCACGGGGGCCGCAAAGAGTCAGACAGGACTGAGTGAGCACACACACAGGAGATTCCATGTGACAGAAAGAGGCAAATCCTCATCTCCAGCTTGGGACCTCCAAGTTCAACTTTTCAAAGGGAAAATGACTGCAGTGCCCCATTTTATGAAGTGCCACTCAGTCATTGGGAGTTGCACAGCTGAGTAAGTCTGTTTAGTGACAAATGACCTGGCAATCTTTGTTCTGTTAACAAGGAAATTGCGGCCAAGAGCTCCGCTCGTTCTGCAGAAGCCACAGAGAGGTTAGGGTCTGAGTAGAACACGGGTGCCTCTCCTGATCCAAGACTGTGTGTTTCCTCTCCCTTCACTGAACTTTGTCCGAGGGATAGCAGTGTTATCTGAGAGCATATGAAATGTTCCAGTGTCTTCAAATGTTGTTGTTCAGTGGCTCAGTTCTGTCCGACCCTTTGTGACCCTGCCGACTGCAGCAAGCCAGACTTCCCGGTCCTTCACTATCTCCCTGAGTTTGCTCAAATACTAGATACCCACTGAGAGCCTTCCGTGAGCTACACACTGTGCTTGGCTCCCGGCATTTCAAATTACTGGATAAAGAGGTATTAAAAAAAAAACTTTTATATGCTACCTGCCCTGCAATACATGAAACTGTGGAGGGGTAACATCCCAGAAGCCTTCTCAGACTAACAGCATCAACACAAGTCCAAGTCAAAACCGCTGGGCATAAGGGCTCTTTACCACAATGAAATAAAAGGAGAAAAAGTTAACAGCTACATTCTCAAGAGTCTTTGAGCTCATTTTCCACCGGCACAATGAAATGCTGAGGATTGGATGGGGAGATAAGATTGCCCAGTTTCACCTCTCTTCCAAACCAAAAAAAAAAAAAAAAAAAAGGAAGAAAGAAAGAAAAGAAAAA